CGCCACGCCCCGGCGTAACATCAGAGAACAGGAGGGCTAGGCTCACCTTTTCTTGCCCAGAGCTCAGGAAGTTCATGGTTACCTAAGCCAAGAGCTTCCAGGGGAGACAGCAGGATGCAAGGAGTCAGGATTAAAGGTACAGGAGCCACTGGACTTGGTCTAGCGAGTGAGCAGAGACTGGAATGTGCTGGGGATAATCAGGTTGCCAAGAGCTGGGGAAAGGGAGGGAGACAACACATCCCTTCCAGCCGAAAGCCAAGGTTTTCTGAGATTTTACTCACTGTCAGGTTTCAGTTTGTAATTATGAGATTTATACGTTCCAACAGACCGCTAGAGCGGTCTGCTCAGAGATCCAGCTTTGCTCCATATCCTTCCCCTCCCAGCGTCACCACTGCAAGTCCTCGTTACACACACATGCGCAAGCCTCACAGGCCACTCTCGCGTCTGGGGAGCCCAGCGGCGCAGGCCAGGGAATGCAGCCCCCGCAGCCCCGTGGCCCCCACCTGCTGCTGCGGCCACAGGGCTGAACGCGCGTGAGTGCCGCTTCATGTTTCTGCAGCTTTCCTTCCATGTCCACTTAACCCTCTGAATGACCCAAAGTCACACCCACTGGCCTCCGTCTGATCCACTCAATGTAAGCACAATGTAAGGAAACAGCATTTGTGGTGCCCGGCAGCCCAGGAAGGCCAACTGCATGTACAGAACCAGCCTCTGAGAGGAGCGGCCGCTCCCACCTTGCACCTCACCACTCCCCCGCCATGCCGCCCTCCCTGCTTAGGAAAAGGGGTAGTTTACTTTTCTAAGGAAAAGACCACAAGGAAAAACGAGGAGTTTGACTTTACTTTCTCTGTGCATTTGTAAAACACTCAGGACCAACGTAGAAAAAAATAATAAGCCTCCTGTTTAAAACTTATACTTAAAAAAGGCCTACGAGAACTAGCTTTAGCCTCAGGGAGCTATGGCAACCCCAGTTGGTCCAAGGAACTGAAACAACACTGGGAGAACGTGACAGGAGGAAAGAGAGATAATGCGCAATTACTGAGGGAGAGGGCCTCGAAGAGGACCACGAGGGGGAACCGGAGGCCGGGGAGTGGGCCTGGGTGGAGGGAGGGGCCCACGCTGGTAGCCGTAGGGCGGGGGTCTCGGGGGCCCGGTGTATCCGTGAGGCGGCATCAGGGGGGGAGGTCCGCGCATGCCGTGTGGAGGCATAGGGCCTGGGTGACCTGCAGGGAGAGACAGAAAAGCCATGAGAGCCAGGACAGGCAACAGCTAATGTCGGACATGGCAAGAGAAGGCAGCCCAGGAGAGCGAGAAGAATGCCAAGAGGCAGCTGCGAGAACAAGCCACGCCAGGCTGAGGCGGTGGCCAGTGCCTACTCACCCATGGGCGATCCAAAGGGGGGGCCTCGGGGAGGCATGCCCATCGGAGGAGGTCCAGGATGCGGCATTCCAGGTGGTGGCCGGGGAGGTGGCTGCCCCCCAGAGCCTGGGGGCCCAGCGTGGGGGTGTCCTAAGCCATGGGGACCATGATGAGCCAGCTGCATCTGAGATATTCCTGCGGAACAAAGCAGACCCAGTGAGAAAGGAGACAGGGTGACGGGGAGAGGGCAAAGAGAGCAGGTTCCAGCAGGAAGAGCAGGGAACAAAGCGCCCTGTACTGGACCGCACGCCGACGGTCACACTAACCAGAACGCAGTCAACTCCGCACCCACTTCACTCGCTGTGTCTGCGACTGGGCATTGCCGCAGACGCTTATCACCAATGGCACCGTTATCCTGTCACAGGACTTGGGAAGGCAGCGGAGATGCTGTCTGAGCAAAAACCTAATTCTAAAGGTAAATGAGAATTTTCAGGCGCACGAGAGAAAAGACGAGCACGCGGGTCCAGGCATGCCGGACAACACAGCCTGCGCAGGACCAGCAGCATCGTGATCAGGAGCAGCCACAGGCGCTGTGCTCGCTAGGGCAGGTCAGACCACGCCAGGCTTTGAACATCCTGCCCCGAGCTTGAGCTTCACTTCGTAGATAGAGAAGAATTTCAGACAAAAACTGTGTTCTTAAACTTACTAAGGAGCAGATCAAAGGTGGAGGAAAGTGGAGTCAAGGCGCCAGGAAGCCACTACAGTAAACCCAATTTCAAGCAGCGAGGGTGAGAGGGCCTGAACCAGGCCCGGGCGGGAGGGTTACTGCCAGGGCCGCTAGCAGACTCGGGCTCAAGTGTGCAGTGAGCGCCCTTTTTGGCAAAGAACACCCACCTGGATGGGGCATCCCGCCCGGTGGGAATGGATGAGGATGAGAATGTCCATGTCCAGGGTGTCCAGCCCCTGGGGTTCCTGCCGAGGGGGGGCCATGGCCTCCAGCCCCAGGAGGCATCGGCGGCGGTGGCATGGCAGGGGGTATCCCAGGTGGAAGGGCTCCGGGAGGCGGCACTGGGGGTGGGAAGGAGCCTGGAGGAGGCATGCCTGCAGGGGAACGAAAGGAGAGAGCTTCAGAAAGGCTGCTCCACTCTGGCTTGTCCACAAAGACAAGCTCTTCTTTTCTCTCTGAAGTCAGAAGCGGCCTTAGACACACAACTCAGACCCCCTGGAGAAACTCAGTTTTGTCCCCATACAACCACCACATCGCTCACTAACTTAACGTCCCCTCAACAGGTTTCTTTTTCCTTCCTGTTGCCTCCTCACCCCCAATACAAAACATATTTGGAACCAAAAGCTTACCTGGTGGAGGAAGCCCAGACCCCAGTGATGATACCACGGGGTTGGGGGCAGAGGGCGGAGGAGGAGCATCTGCGAACAGCTGATGAGGGCGGTCGGCCTGGGAGAGCGGGTTCTGGGCTGCCAGGAGTCGCTCGGCAGCAGAGCCGTGGCGCTCACCCTTGGAGTCCTTCTTGAAGGCATAGGACACGGTGATCGGGCGGTTGCACAGGTACTGCCCGTTCATGGCTTCAATCGCCGCATCCGAAGCATCAAATGAAGCAAAATTAATGAAGGCATAACCTTTGGAGTTGCCTGTGTCGGGGTCCCGCATGATCTTTGGGGTTTGTAAGATGACCCCAAACGCGCTAAAAGTATCGTAGAGTAGCTTCTCATCAATCTCCGGGTCCAGGTTCCCAATGAAGATGTTGGCCCCCACATCCAGGTTTTTGTTGTGAGCTGAGGCCTTATTCACCCGAATTGGCTTCCCGTAGAGTTTGATCATGTTCATGATCTTAATGGCATAGTCAGCATCTTCCTCACTCAAGAACTCCACGAAACCATAGCCTGGGGAAGCATTGGAGCAGGTGAAGTGATTTCATTCGAAACGGGTAAACAGAAATCATTTCCAGGCCCTCCCTGGTAGCGCAGAGGGCTGGAGCGCTGCACGGGGAAGTTAGGCTGTGCTGTGGCTCCTCACTGGGAGTTCGATTCCCATGGGAGGTGACCCACATGGTGAAGCAGACCTCTCTTCTCTCCCTACTGCGCCCAGTGTACTTCGTTAATCCGCCTGTTCTGCTCCCCACTCTCTCTGGTGAATCTTCTCACCGCCCCCGCACCTCTGGCCTGTCCCCCATTTCCCTATGCATCAATAAATACGTCTTTAAAAGAAAAATCACTTCTATTGAAAATCACCCAGAAACAAACTGAGCTGGGCCTAAGAGGAAGAAATCTCCAAACTGCTCTTTCCCAAACAGTTGTGAATCCTGGCCCCCCACCCCCACGGTGTCCCCTCATCGCATCCAAGACCCCTCTGGCCGTCGACTCACCTTGGTGCTGACCAGTGACCCTGTCCTTCGGCATGTGGGTGTTGACCACGGGTCCCGCCTGGAGAAACAGCTCCCACAGCAGGGGCTCGCTGACCTTCTCGTCCAGGCCCCCCACGTACACGGTGGCATCTGGAGGGCGGCGGCGAGCGCGACGGGGCGGTCACAGGAACACGAGGCCCGGGCCCGGAAGAGTCGGGAAGAAACGGGAGAGGTGAGCTCTCCGCCCTCACGCGCCTCCCGCCCGCACCCAGAGGCCGCCTGCGGCCCGTTCAGGGTCCGCGCCAGT